GTGTTGTGGGGAATGCATTGGTGTAGGAAGGGTGGTTTGGTGGGGTCTTGGCAAAAGTGAGCGACTCGGGTGTGTGAGCAACTCGCCCATGAAGTACGTTTACTATACTTAGCTTTAATATTCTTTATAAAGCTAAACCTGCTTTAAATTACTTTAAAACTCTTATAAAAAGCTTTTTTATAGTTATACTATACTTAAACATTACTTTAAGCTTTAAATAATGCTTTCTAAATGTACTAGGCTAGTTTATGCTAACATAGCCTAGATTATACTTAGTGTGTAAAGAATTAGCTATATTAGCTATAAATACTATCTAAAAAAGAAATTCTTATGTATATAGCTTAAGTATAGTTTTAATAATTACTTACTTTTTATTATTACCTAGCTTTTATAAGTTAGCTGTAGAATTAGCTTATAAAGGTTATCTAGTGCTATAGTTATTTATTATTTTTTAAAGGACTTTATATATAGCTGCAGCATATTTCTTTAAAAGTTTTATATTTTATTTAAAAGCTTAGAGTGTAAGCTGTATCTAATATTCTTTTAGTAAATCTAAGTAGTGTTATTAGAAATACATTAGTGTAAAAAAAGTAGTTTAGTAAAGTCTTAGTAAAAGTAAGTAACTTAGGTGTGTAAGTGTTAGATTAAAGCACTGTTTCTAGGCTTCCTAAGATGAATGATGGGTTTGGATATGATGTATAGGATGATGATTGATTGTATTGATTTATCAATCCTTTTTCTGCTCTACTTGTGTTGCTCGGCTTTTGTTTTTCCGATCCAAGTCCCTCGCGCACTAGCCCTATGCGCGACTAGCTTGCAACATGCAGCAATTTGCAGCAACATACTGTTCAAGCTTATTGCTCGTACTATGTAGCAGCTTTCGTCCAGCGTTCCTCCTGTCTTGACAGTAGGTGCGCATATCTGACATGTGTGTCTTATTAGACAAGGCATTTGCCAAGCAGCAGGTCAGCTAGTTCGGGGCCTTGTTCGTCTAGGCTACTGTGTTTTAGCGTGTACCGTGTTTCATCGCTTAACGCACGGCCCCTCGTAACGCACACACAACCAAAATTCATCAACTCTTCAATCAAGCTTATCTCCACCAATATGGACCCAATTGAGGCCGCGCTGGCGTCATTTGAATCGCTGAAGCTTGGAGAAAAACCTAATTATAGTGCGACAGCGAAAAAATTTAGTTGTTGTCGCTCTACACTATCAAAGCGCCACCGCGGGGTGCAGGGCACCTATGCAGAGAAGCACAAAAATCAACAACTCCTTAACAACGTACAAGAAAAGGAACTCTCTAAATACCTTAACAAGCTTTACGCAAAAGGACTGCTGCTTATAAGGCTTATAATACGCAATTTTGCCTTAGAAATAGCTAGGAAATAGGCTAGTAAAAACTAGGTTAATTACTTTATTAAGCAGCAGGACATTAAGCTTATATCTTAATAGACATCTAGCATAGATTCTAATTATAAAAGAGCTAACTTAGCCTTTAAATATAAGCTCTATTTTAAGCTGTTACAGAGGAAAATTAATAATTATAGCATAGAGTTGCGCCACATCTATAATATAGATAAAAAGGGCTTCTTAATTAGTGTACTATTAAAAGTTAAAAGAATCTTCTCTAAACAGTAATATAAAGAAGGTGGCATTAAGCAGATAATCTAGGACAGTAATTGCAAGTAGATTACAACTATAGCTTGTATATGCGCTAATAGGACTTCTCTTACACTAGCACTAATTTATTAGGCTGCTTTAGGCAACATATAAAACACCTAGTTATAAGACTTTAACTTTAATAAACATAAGGCCTTTTTTTTCTTATCTCCTAGTAAGTAGACAAGTAATATGCTAGGCCTTGCATAGCTTAAACAGGTGTTTAATAAAGAAATAAAATAGAAGACCTAACACTCCTATTAACTATTAGTCCTAGATAGCTATAGATCGCATGTTACTATAGATTTTATTAAGTATTGTAACAATAATAGGATCCTCTTAGCTATCTATCCACCTTATTTAACCTATACCCTGCAGCCTCTAGATGTCTACATGTTTAAGCCTTTGTTAACTGCCTACTTAGCTAAGCTAGCAGATTTTATGTACAGGTGCTAAGGACTATTAACTATTATAAAAAAAGACTTTTTTTATATGTTTAATAAAGCCTAGCTAATGTTATTTAAACTAAATACTATCTTTAAGGCATTTAAAACATGCAGTTTATCTCTATTTAATCTAGAAGCAATCCTAGTATAATTTAATATTAAAAAAGAGGACTAGCTATTCTCTAGTAATAGTACTACTTTAGTACTAGGCGCTTCTAATTAGAGGAAGATTAAGAGGATTTTGCGCTAGGTTGTTAATAATATTTATAGTAAGTAGTTACGCTAGCTTAGTTAAACTATTTACATAATTTTATGTTATAACAACCTGCTCTAGCATAAGGTTAAACATCTTAAACAAGCTCTCCTTAATAAAAAGCGTTGCTGCTAGCGTAGGAAGCCTCTCCTACTTAAATCTTTACCTAAGTATAATAGTAGAGCAGTCTTTTAGTTACTAACTAAAGTACATAAAGCACATAATCTCTAAGCTTAAAAAAATGCTAACAAGAAGGCTTTATAACTTAAGAAGGATAAAAAAACAAAGCTTAGAAAGGTAGAGAAGGCAGAAAAGGCGCGTATACTAAAGAAGAAAAAGCGCATAAGGGTAGTAGCAAAAGAAATCTAACTCTAAGAGCAGCGCGTTAAGGTAGCTTAAAAAGAGGAGGCAAAGTTCGCCTAAGAAGCTACTGCGCAACTTAAAAAGGACATCTAATTAGCTAATAAAAGTAAGAAAAAGGCCTCTACACTAATTACTAGCAATAAAGATAAGAAGGAGGATTATATTAAAGACAAATTAGTTATAAAGGTTGCTGCGCCCACTCTAGCCTAAAGTTAATGTGGCAGGCAGATTAACCTTCCTAGAAGGTTTCTTGTATAATAGATTAATTAATTAGTAAGCTCTTCTTATAACTCTAGAAAACTGCTTTATTTTATAAGCCCTATAGAGCTGTAGAGCTTTAAAAGTTGATAGGGGTAACATCTCAAAACTGTGCGTTACGAGGGGCCGTGCGTTAGGCGATGAAACACGGTAATGCACGGCCTCGCGTAATGCACGGTTCTGCGCGAAGCTGTCAAAACTTCAACCACCTCTCTCTCAACCAATATAGGCAGTATTGAGGCCGCTTTGGAGTTGCTAAAATCGCTAAAACCTAGAGAATCACTAAATTATGCTGCAGTAGCTAGGCAGTATAGCGTTAATTAATCTACGCTCTTAAGGCGTCACTAACGCGTTACCCGCCTGCGTGCAGAGAAACTTGAAAATTAGCAACTACTTAGCCTAGTGCAGGAGAAAGAGCTAGTAAAGTACATTAATAGGCTTTACACAAGAGGTCTATCCTTTTTAAGACAAATAATTTAAAATTTTGTAACAAAAATAAGTAGTAGGTAAGCTAGCAAAAGCTAGGTTAATTAATTTATTAAAAGGCACTTTATTAACTTATTATCTTAATAGACATCTAGCATAGACGCTGCGCGTAACAAAGCTAACTTAGCATTTAAGTACTTGCTATATTTTAAGCTTGTACGCAAAAAAATTAAGTAATATAGCATAAAACCACAGCATACCTATAATATAGATAAAAAGGGCTTCCTAATTAGAGTACTATTAAAAATAAAGCAAATCTTCTTTAGATAGTAGTATAAGCAAGGTATTAAGCAGTAGCTTATATAGAATAGCAATTGCAAGTAGATTATAATAATAGCCTACATCTGCGCTAACAGCAGCTCTCTTACGCCTACGCTAATCTACTAAGCTGTTTTTAACTATATATAAGACTCTTAGCTATAAAATTTTAACTTTTCTAAGTATTAAGCTTTCTTTGCCTTATTACTTATAAGTTAAATAAATAATAAACTAGGCCTAGCATAGCTTAAACATGTGTTTAATTACAAGACTAAGGCAAAGGTGTAATAGGCATACTAACTTTTATTCCTAGATAGCTATAAATTACATGTTTTAATAGAGTTTATTAAGTACTGCAATAATAATAAGATCCTTCTAGCTGTATACCTACTGCATGCAACTTATACGCTGCAGCTTCTTAATGTCTGCATGTTTAAACCTCTTTTGTTAGCCTACTTAGCTAAGCTAGCTAGCTTTATAGATAAATGCTAGAGACTATTATTAATTAAAAAAAAAGACTTTTATAGCATGTTTAATAAGGCTTAGAAAACATTCTTTAAGCATAACACTATTCTTAGTGCTTTTAAAGCAACTAGTTTATTACTATTTAAGCTGTAAGTAGTTTTAGATTAATTTTACTATAAGTAAAAGAAGTAACTATCCTCTAGTAAAAGCACTAGCTTAGCGCTTAGTGCAAAGAATTAGAAAAGAGTTAAAGGCCTTTTAGATAAAGTTATTAGTAATTTTTATAAAAAAGATGTATAAGAGCTTAAGAAAACTGTCTAGTTATTTTTAGTATATTATATCCTCCTCTAGCGTAAGCTTAAGCAGGTTAAAGATGCGCTAATTAATAAGAAAAAGCGCTGCTAGTGTAGCAAGCCTCTCCTACTAGAAGCACCTCTAGAATATTATAGTAGTGCAACCTTTTAGTCCCTAAATAAGGTCTAAGAAGCACATAATTATTAAGCATAAAAAAATGCTAAGAAGAAGGCTCTACAGCTTTAAAAACAAGAGAAGGCAAAGTGTAAAAAAGCAAAGAAAGCTAAAAAGGCGCACGCAGTTAAAGAGAAGAGGCATAGAGTAGTAATAGCAAAGAAGGCTTACCTGCAGGAGCTTAAGACAAAAGCAGCTTAACAAGAGGAGGCAGAGCTTACCTAGCAGGTTAATTAATAGCTTAAAAATAACCTCTAGCAGGCAACAAAGGGCAAGTAGAAAGCTCCTACGCCTATTGCTAGTACGCTAGAGGATTTTAATAATAATGCAGCATTAAATAAAAAGAGGGAGCTAGCATTAGGCAGGACTTAACATAGCAGGCAAATTAACCTCTCTATAAAGTATTACATGTAAATTATTGCTAGGAATAGAATCTATAGCATTTAATTAGTATTATAATAAAAAATCTATATAATCTATAATTTATGTAAGTCTCTAGAGCTTTAAAAGTAAAAGGCGCAGATTGCCAAAATCGTGCATTACGCGAGGCCGTGCATTACGCGCTAAAACATGGTAATCGTTTCCTCCCACTCAAGCATAAACGGGTTCCATCCTTGTCTGTCAAGACAGTGGGGCACTTCTTAGAAATCCCCATCGGTCTAACTGTAGACCGTAACATAATGGTTGTAGTCAAGACTATATACATAAGATCTAACTATTCTGTCTGTTGTAACCGTCCTGCCTACGCTGCGGTCGCTGCGGTTGTTGCGGTCACTACAGTCACTTTGCTAAGCCGTCACTCTTATCCCGAAGGCTTCCGGCTAGTCACGTGTTCTTCCTGTTGTGCCGCTAGGAAGAAGTTCCACCCCTGATTGTCGTATAATCTAGTGGCTGTCTAATACTCGCTTATAGTCTACTCAGGGACCGTAATATAGAGCAGGGTTGGAGCCGATACAAGAAACCTTTAGATATAAGGTTTTCTAGGTAACTTTAAATAGAACAATTCAAGCGAATTGTTACACTAAGCTATACTATACTATATAGTGCTAGAGTAGGTTGTGATAGGCTATAATAGAGTGCATTGTAGTGTAGTCTTAGCAAAAGTAAGCAACTTAGGTGTGTAAGCAACTTGCTTATAGAGTATGTTATTATTAATTTATAAAAATTTATACTTTTGCTATGTAAAGTAGTAGATTTTATAGATATACTAGATCTATAGCTATCTAATGTAAGGACAGGGCTCCGCACCACTCTGCTAATACAACTAAAAGGTACAAATAATCAACTAACGTTAATTTTTAGGTGCAGAATAGTATATATACCTGTTGCACGTAAGCGCTATCTTAGCCTTACATTATCCCCCTGTTTAGCAGACGCATGTCCCAGGCGTTACATGACCTACCCGCAGCTTAGAGGCGCTATGCGCATGTCTTAGTTACTAGCTAGAGGCTAACTACCTGCGGCCTAGAGGCGCGGGATAAATAACAACACAACGCTTAGTAGCCCACGCCAGCTAAGCCATATACACTAGACCTCCCAGCAGCTACAACGTGGCGCTAGAAGAGGCTGCCTTACATTTTAGTCTAAAAACTAGCTAAGCTGTCTAAGGTGTAGGTTAAACGCGTAACTGTCCTTATTATTAGTTAATTATTATGTAAGGATAGGGCTCTGCACTACTCTGCTAATATAACTAAAAGGTATAAATAATTAACTAACGTTAATTTTTAGGTGCAGAATGTAACGATTCTACGAATCGTTCCATCTCGGGTCGCTCGGATCCTATCTGAAGGGTCCCCGTATCGGCCCCGACCATGACTCGACCCAGTCCCCCGCAGTTACCCCTATTCCCTTATGTATTTAGTCGCACCTTGCCCCTGTAGCTAGCTTAGTAGTTTTCTGATATCCTTTTGTACAAGGCCTATAGGTGTTAATGGCATTCCCAGGTTCAGAGTCCCCACGCACTCCCATATGCCTTTGAGTGGATTCCCACCGCATTCGGACCCATTGTCTTGCCTGCGCTGTTACACAGAATAGTATATATACCTGTCGCACGTAAGCGCCATCTCGGCCTTACATCTAATAGAAGAAGTGTAATAGAATAAGACTAGGCAGAGACTCTCCCTGTTAAGGCTAGGTCCTATTATGAAGGCACGAGACTGGCTCATGATGATGGGGAGTTGCAACACTGACGTCACGTGCCTAGTCGGTGCATCGCATAACGGCGTTCCGGGTCGCCGACCGTATTTCCTTGGCGTCAGCCTAGGCAAACGTACAAGCCGGGAATTTAACGTTCTCTGACTGAGATATAGCCTGAGAAGCTCCCTAACCAGAGTTTATATTTCATTGATCTCATTGTTTTGTTAGTCGTTCTTAGACGCGTCCTAGATCGTGACCCGTTCTATCCAGTTTCTACTATCTGGTACTCGTTCTACACGCTACAACGAAACTTCTAGATGTTCGGGTTTTATGATAGCTCTCCCCCTTCATCGCCTCCAAATTCTTCCAAACTCATCCTGAGACCCGAAGAATGCCAAACCTTTACCCTCCCTGATACGCGCAACCTTGGCTTCGCAACCTACGGCTCCACAACACCCTCCGACCCTGTAATCTTCTTGTTCCACGGCCTTCCAGGGTGCCGCATTGTTGGTCGTAGCTGGGACAAGGTCTGCAAAAAAATCGGTGCCCGCCTCATTACTATCGATCGGCCCGGCTGTGGACTTTCGACGCTTGCTGACAGGGGACTCACTGACTGGCCTGAAGATGTTGTGAGCCTGGCAAATTATCTTGGAATTAGGCGTTTCAGCGTATTAGGGGCCAGCGGAGGTGGACCCTTCGCCTTGGCATGCGCACGTTTCATACCTAGAGAGAGACTTCGAGGGACAACTGTCGTATGCGGCATTGGGCCCATTGACGCTTTGCCTGACATGGTGCCATATCTCCCTTGGCGCTTGATGGGCATAACGCTATGGTTTCTGAAGGTTGTGGCCCGCTATGTTATCCTCCCCTATCTCCTCCTTCCCTACTACACTAGAGACCCCTCACGCCTCAAACGCGTTCTAGAGAACCAGTGCCAAACCCCGGCAGAAAAAGCACTTATCAGTAATGATAGCGACAGCGACACTAATCTCGACGATTCAGTAGCCGGACTCCTTGAGGCTTTTAAACAGGGCACTGAGGGGTGTCTGCATGACGGAACCGTGCTCGCAAGAAATTGGGGATTTGAGTTGAAGGAGGTGAACAGTGAGAAGGTATGGTTGGTACATGGGGACAAGGATACTCATGCGCCATTGGGAATGGCGCAGTGGATAAACGAACGATTGGGCGGGGGGAGGCTCAGGGTTCTAGAAGGGAAAACGCATTTCACCATTTGGAAGGATCATTCTGAAGAGATATTCCGGCAAAGCTCAGAGGCATAGAACATAAGAAGGTTCTAATTTCGCCTGGGATGTCCTTACAGCAACCCTGTCTGTTCATAAGTATTTAGCGTTCTTTCACTAAACAATGAGGCCTCTCCTCACGGCTTCCGCGGGGTGCTACGATCGTACGGGTGCTTGTCACCATGAAAAGACATAAAGTGACTTTAAGATGTTCGCATGGTAGTACATGGCATTTTATCGTGTTGTTACGTATAGATAAGACTATCGCGATCCCTGGTAGTGCTTCCAACAGCAAGCTAAAGATCCCATTGCTTTCCTGCCACTATCATATTAGGAATATCATTAACACTAATAGGCCTTGTATAAAAGGACATCCGAAAACTACTAAGCTGGCTACAGGGGAAGTACAACTAAATACTTGGGGGAATAGGGGTACAGCAGGGGGCAGGGCTGGGTCGGGGTCGGGGCCGATACAAGGACCTTCCGGATAGGTTCCGGGCCACCCGAGATGGAACGATTCATGAGAATCGTTACGAAAAGTGTGTATACATGTATGTGTATATAGAACAACTTTAACGTTTCTATATACATAATAACGTACATTACAGGCGGGTTGCTTACACATCTAAGTTGCTTACTTTTGCTAAGACTTTACTAAATGTAACGATTCTACGAATCGTTCCATATCGGGTCGCTCGGATCCTATCCGAAGGGTCCCCGTATCGGCCCCGACCATGACTCGACCCAGTCCCCCGCAGTTACCCCTATTCCCTCATGTATTTAGTCGCACCTCGCCCCCGTAGCTAGCTCGGTAGTTTTCTGATACCCTACGTACAAGGCCTATAGGTGTCATTGGTATTCCCAGGTCTCTGAGTCCCCACGCACTCCCATATGCCTCTGAGTGGATTCATACCGCATTCGGACCCATTGTCTTGCCTGCGCCATTACACTAAACTGCTTTTTCTACACTAATACATTTCTAATAACACTACTTAAACTTGCTAAAAAAAACATTAGATACAGCTTACACTTTAGGCTTTTAAATAAAATGTAACACTTTTAAAATAACATCCTATAACGTACTTCACAGGCGAGTTGCTTACACACCTAAGTCGCTTACTTTTGCTAAGACCCCACCCTAACAAACTCTATTATAGCCTATAACAACCCGCTCTAGCACTATATAGTACAGTATAGCCTAGAATATTATTTAGATACTACTTCTACTTTTTACTTATATATTTATGTGTTATGCCTAGTCTAATTGCACTATCTATAGCGCCTTTAAAATAGCTTACTTACTTTAGCTTACACCTACTTTTTTACTTTTTTTTTATTACTACACACTTTAAACTTCTTTAAAGCTGTTAAGTGTAAGCTTTTTTAAATTATTAAAGTTTTTTTTACTTTAATTTACTTTTTTTATGTAATTTATATTACATAGCAGCTTTATTAGCTGCTTAAAGCTTAGTAATTTTCTATTATACTAACACTAGCTTATATATAATTATTACTGCCTTTTTTAAAACTTTTTTAAACACTTTAACTATAAAAGTTAGTAAACTATTTATATACTTTTAAAATTTTATTTTTATAAACATTAATTATAACTTAAGTTTTAAAGTATTACTTAGAGTTTACAACTGCTAAAGCTTATTATATATAAGTAGTAGTAGTAGTAATAAAGTGCATAACTTTATATTAAGGCTTATTATAACTTATTATAGGTTAAAAAGAACTAATTTAGTGCTTTAAAACTTTTCTTAAATATTACTAAAAGTAATTATAGCATTATAAGCTACTTTAAAGTATAATAAAAACTTTATTTTTATAATATAAGTTATTTAGTTATATATAAAGTTTTTAGCTTAGCGCTTATATGCTTTTTTTAAAAGAGTAAAATAACTTATATTAAATAGCTATAAAAAGTGTAATAAGTAAAAAAGTATATAAATAGTAATAATTTTATTATTTTTATAATATTACTAAAAATAAAGTAAGGTATAGCTTTTATAGCTATTAATAACTAGTAGACAGTAGCTGCTAATAGTACACTTTTTTATATACACATTAAAGTGCTTTAACTAGTCTAGACTAAGCTACTTAGTAGTCTAGCTGCGCTTAAAGATTATAATAACTTAATTTTAAAGTAAATTTTTTTATACTAGTTTAAAAAGTAGTTACTACTTTAAAAAATAATAAAAAGTAAAATAGCTTACTTTTTAGCATTAATGCTCTAGATAGCTGTTGTCTACTTCTAGTTACCTAGCTAAACTACTTTTAGCTGTCTTTATCTCTCTAAACTTATAATAACTACTATAGTAGATATCTAGCCTATTATAAACTTTATTTTATTAAAGTTATACATGTTATTATTCTAAATGCTATACTTAGCTTTAATATTCTTTATAAAGTTAAACTAGCTTTAAATTACTATAAAAATTTTATAAAAAGCTTTTTTATAGTTATACTTATACTTAAACTTTACTTTAAGCTTTAAGTAATACTTAATAAACATATTAAGCTAGTTTATGCTAATATAGCCTATATTATGCTTAGCGTGTAAAGAATTAGCTATATTAGCTATAGCTGCTAGCTAGAGAGGAAATCCTTACACATTTAGCTTAAGTATATGCTAAATAATTACTTACTTTTTATTATTATCTAGCTTTTATAAGTTAGCTATATAATTAGCTTAGAAAAGTTATCTAGTGTGTTTGTTACGATTGTGCACGAGTAAGGTTATAGAGCTTCACGGAGGTCTAGTTTAATTACTACGTGAGGTATTATAGTAGGTATAAGACGTTGTGTAAGGAACAGAAAAGTTTAGAATAAAATTAGTAATTAAATACTTAGCTTAAAAGTCTAAGCGCTTTAGGTATAAATTAAGCCTGTTCTAGGTTTAGTTAGTGTTAAAGCAGTTTATGCTTAAGTTTATGTCTATGTTATGTTATGTTTATGTTAGACGTGCACTAATAATACTCTAGTACGCGTCTAATATAGTTATGTCTAGGATCTAGGGAGGATACTGTAACAGTACCCCCCCTTTTATTAGGAAGGGAATCCTTTACATTAGTAGTTCTAGCATTAGGTTGTCTTTATTAGGGTACAGGTTTAGTTTAGATAGGTATTAGGCGTAGAATTAAGTTACTGTAGAGTTCTTTTATAGGGCTTTTATAGGTTCCTACAACAGTTTGTTGTATCTAGTCTATTTTATAAAGTATTTATAAATACATTTTTTCTTGTTAAACTAACGTACTTCATGGGCGAGTCGCTCACACACCTGAGTCGCTCACTTTTGCCAAGACCCCACCCCAACAAACTCTATTATGGCCCATAACAACCCGCTCTGGCACTATATAGTACAGTACAGCCTAGAATATTATTTAGATACTACTTCTGCCTCTTGCTTACACATTTACGCGTTATGCCTAGTCTAATTGCACTGTCTGCAGCGCCTTTAGGATAGCTTACCTACTTTAGCTTGCACCTGCTTCTTTGCCTTCTTCCTGTTACTACGCGCCCTAAACTTCTTTAGAGCTGTTAAGTGTAGGCCTTTTTAAATTATTAAGGTTCTTTCTGCCTTAATCTGCTTTCTTTTATGTAATTTATATTATGTAGCAGCCTTATTAGCTGCTTAAAGCTTAGTAATTTCCTATTACACTAACACTAGCTTATACGCAATTATTACTGCCCCCTTTAAGACTTTCTTAAACGCCTTAACTATAAAAGTTAGTAAACTATTTATATGCTTTTAAATCCTTATCTTTATAAGCATTAATTATAACCTAAGTTTTAGAGTATTACTTAGGGTTTGTAACTACTAGGGCTTGTTATATATAAGTAGTAGTAGTAATAGAGTGCGCAACTTTATATTAAAGCCTATTATAACTTATTATAGGTTAAAAGGAACTAATCTAGCGCCTTAAAACCCTTTTTAGATATTACTAAAAGTAATTACAGCATTATAAGCTGCTTTAAAGTATAGTAGGAACTTTATTTTTATAATATAGGTAATCTAGTTGCGCATAAGGTTTTTAGCTTAGCGCCTATATACCTTTTTTAAAGGAGTAAAACAACTTACATTAAGTAGCTGTAAAAAGTGCAATAAGTAAAAAAGCATGTAAATAGTAATAATTTTATTATCTTTATAGTATTACTAGAAATAAAGTAAGTTATAGCTCTTATAGCTGTTAATAACTAGCAGATAGTGGCTGCTAACAGTACACTTCTTTATATGCACGTTAAAGTGCTTTAACTAGTCTAGACTAAGCTAATTACTAGTCTAGCTATGCTTAGAGATTATAATAACTTAATCTTAGAGTAGATTTTCCTCCTTGTACTAGTTTAAAAAGTAGTTGCCACCCTAAAAGATAATAAAGGGCAGAATAGCCTACCCTTTAGTATTAATGCCCTAGATAGCTGTTGTCTACTCCTAGTTACCTAGCTAGACTGCTTTTAGCTGTCCTTATCTCTCTAAACTTATAACAACTGCTCTAGTATATATCTAGCCTATTATAAACTCTGTCTTGTTAAAGTTGTACATGTTGTTATTTTAGATGCTATACTTAGCTTTAATATTCTTTATTAAGTTAAACTAGCCTTAAATTACTGTAAGATTTTTATAAAAAGCTTTTTTATAGTTATACTTATACTTAAACTTTACTTTAAGCTCTAAGTAACACTTAACAAACATATTAGGCTAGTTTATGCTAACATAGCCTATATTACACTTAGCGTGTAAAGAATTAGCTATATTAGCTACAGCTACTAGCTAGAGGGGAAATCCTTGCGCATTTAGCTTAAGTATGTGCTAAATAATTACCTGCTTCTTGTTATTATCTAGCTTTTATAAGTTAGCTATATAATTAGCTTAGAAAAGTTGTCTAGTGTGTTAGTTACTTATTGTTTTTTAAGAGACTCTGTAGATAGCTGCAGCGTGTTAGTTAAAGAGTGTTATGTTTTATTTAAAAGCCTAGAGTGTAAGCTGCATCTAATATTCCTTTAACATATTTAAGTAGTGTTATTAAGAATGCATTAGTGTAGGAAGAGTAGTGTAGTAGGGTCTTAGCAAAAGTAAGCAACTTAGGTGTGTAAGCAACTTGCCTATGAAGTATGTTAGATCTATTTAATGTCTTTTACAACATATTTTAGTTTATTATTTATAATACTAGGTTTAGGTAGCAGGTTTAGCTGTCTAGGTAGATAGTTAGATTTAGGGGCTACTTAGC